CAACTGCCCCCCTCTCACTGGCCTGGTTGCCCCTAACTGCCCTCCCCCTGCTGGCCTGGTCACCCCCAACTACCCCTCCTGCTGACCTGGTCGCCCTCAACTGTCCCCCGTGCTGGCCTGGTCACCCCTGGTGTGTGCCAGCCTGATTGCCCTTAATTGCCCCCGCTGCCAGCTAGGTCGCCCCCAACTGCCCCCCCTGCTAGCTTAGTTGTCCTTCACTGCCCTTCCCCCCCGCCAGCCTTTTGGTTGTCCCTCACTAACCCCCCTGCTGGCTTAGTCGTAGGCAGCCATCTTGTGAAGGTGTAAGGGTTAATTTGCATATTACCTCTTTATTATATAGGATTGATGCTTTTTAGAGAGAGAGGGGAAGGGGGGAGGAAGGGAGGGAGGGAAAGGAGAAGAGGGGGAAAAGGGAGAAGAGAGGGAGAGGGAGGAAGAGAAAGAGAGAGATATCAAAAGAGATTGATTTGTTGTTCTACTTATTTATGCATTCATTGGTTAATTCTTACATGTTCCCTGACCAACCTTGGTGTATTGGGATGATGTTCTAACCAATTGAACTGCCAGGGCCTGTACTTGGTTTTTAAAATTTCCATACTAAAACAAGAATCTAAACAGGCAAAAAATGAAAAATAAACAAAAGTAAAGCACAATCCAACTCACCACTCTATTTAACAGCCGGTTCTAAATATGATGGTTAAATTTTCAAGGTCTTCATTCTTTAAATGTAATTCTTCAAGCAGGGTAGCTAGAAACTGTGTAAACACCATATTTTCCTGAGAATGCTTCTGAATGCCAAGAATCGGTGTCAGTCTGAAACAACCAAAAATATTAAATACATATTCATGAAATGGGAAGGAATAAGGGGGCTTCAGTCCTCAACATGTTTTTGTCATGGCAGAGATGAAGTCTTTCTGATTTATCAACATTCCCAGGGAGAGGCTTTCCTAATACAAGCAGAAGAGAAATCTCAGAAAAAAACTGGAAAGATCAAACATATTATTAATTACAGAAAGAAGCCTAAAAGTCTGGATCTATAACATGTTCTTCATGGCAGCAAAACCCACCAAAATTCTGCTCAGAAAGGAAAATTAATGAAGTCTTTTCTTTCCACTTGGGGAAAGGAGGTTGTGGGGAGAAGCTTTAAGCTGAGAATTGCTTTAAAAACATCTATAATAATAAAAGTGCAATATGCTAATTAGACCGGACAGCTGAACGACCTTCTAGACATCATTCCAAATGTCCTTGAAAGATGAAACTGCAGTGGTGGGGGCCGAGGCAGAGGTGGTTAGGGGTGATCAGGCAGGCAGGTGAGCAGTCAGGGTAGATCAGGCAGGCAAGCAGAGTGGTTAAGGGAAAATCAGGTAGACAGGTGAGTAGTTAGGGGTGATCAAGCAGGCAGGCGAGTGGTTAGGGGCGATCAGGCAGGCAAGTGAGTGGTTAGGGGCAATCAGGCAGGCAAGTGAGTGGATAAAGGTGATCAGGCAGGCAGGCGAGAGGTTAGGGGTGATCAGACAGGCAGGCGAGCGGTTAGAAGCTAGCAGTCCTGGGTTGCAAGAGGGATGTCTGAGGGGTCCCGGATTGCAAGAGGGTACAGGCTGGGCTGAGGGATCCCACCACCCCATGCACGAATTTCGTGCACCAGGCCTCTAGTAATTTATAATGAATGTTTGGATTATATCACCTGGAAAAAGAAAATAAATAAAAAATAAGACTGCCTTTTAGATAAAACCTTAACATTTTTATTTTTAAAACACTAAAGAGATGAATTACATAAGGCACTTAATATAAACTTTATAAGTAACACTCTGCTTTTTTCTTTAATCATTTATAGTAAATACCCCTAAAGATTGCATGTAATAGATTGTTAAAAGTAATTTAAATTCAAATGTGATTAGCAAGTATCATTTTTAAAAAGTGACTAATCTAATTACAAATACTCAAGACCATTACTTTTCATAAATATTTATGAAATATTTCAGAGATCATGATTTGTAGAACCTTTGCAAGTTACTTACATTCCTGGAAAGCTTTTTGGAGAGAAAATTCTTTTTTCCCCAAAGAGTCTTATACCTTGCACAAAGCTCTTCCAGATGCTTAATTGTTTTAAAAATATATTTTTATTGATTTTCAGAGAAAGGAAGGGTGAGAGAGAGAGAGAGAGAGATAGAAACATCAATGATGAGAATCATTAACCGTTGCCTCCTGCATGCCCCCTACTGGGGATGGAGCCCACAACCTAGGCATATGCCCTGACTGGGAATCGAACAGTGACCTCCTGGATCATGGGTCGACCCTTAACCACTGAGTCACATCAGTTGGGCGATGCTTATTTAATCTTGGTCATTGCCACTGGGCACATAAAATATAAATAAGATAACTCTGATTTAAAACAATAACAGTCAAGAAATCGGAGCAGAGCAATTCTGCAGCAGTGTGTGTAGAATGGGAAATGTTATTTTTCGAGAGACAGATTTCATCTTTGCTTAGCCATTTCATAGAGAATACAAAAGTAAAAATATGTCAAAATTGTTCAGAAATGGCCAGGACTTTGAGAAGGTGGTAAATTCTCTATCTCCGTGGTAAATTCTCTATCTCCCTGAAGGTGTCTTAACAAGAACTAGAGGTTAAGCGACTCCAGTAATAAATACTAGTAGTCTAGTAAAATCCACAAAGTTCTAAATGGGAAAACTACTGTAATGTGTACTTCCCCCACCTCTCTGTATTTCTGTAGAGGTAGGGGATGGAGTATCAGGTCTCATACTTCCTGAGCTTTGTCTGCTGGTATTTCTCACAGGTAGTTCATGCTGGGAAATAGGACTACCCAAGCCTTCCAAAGCCAAACCCAACCTGGGCACTTGGTTGAATGTAGGCAATTGCAGCCAGCTTTTCCTGAGGCATCTTGCTGCAAAGGTGGAATCCAGAAGTCAACTCCGCCTTTTCCCACACTTAGGTAAGTTGGTATTTAAAATACAAAGTTGCTGCTTTCCCACAATAAGACTAAAGATACTGGGGATAGAATAATATTGGCTAAAATAAAACCAATAAGTCAGAGGAGGTAGATCAGATATGTCAACTCCACAGAAACCTAGCTTTTGTGTGTTTTTAAAATGGTACTTATATGACACGTCTTAGGCAATTTCTCTCACTTTCAAGGAGACTAATATTTGGTTCATATATGAAAACAAAGTTTTCTCAATTACTTCTTAAAGTGCCATGTTTTAAACTTAACCCTCAAATTAGAAGTAAATGGTGACTACTAGATTTTTCAACCTGTGTGCTTATGAGAGCAGAAAATGAGAAGATTTATAAACAGCTTGTAAGAGAATTGTTCCATCAATAGCCCTAGTTAGAAACTATTTTAGAAAATAGTAATACTTCTTTAGCAAACTTATAAGGATATATTTACTCTATAAATTAGTAAGTTTATTAAAAGATGTGTTCAAATGTACCTAAATGTTTTGTTTATAAAGAAAAACTAGAGTTAATGGGAAACTTTAGCTAGGAGTTAGAAAAAAGAAAAAAAGAAAAGAAAAGAAAGCAACAATGCAATCCTGCTCCATGCTCCTGGGCCCATGGCAAACAAAGCTAATCAATCAGGCATTCTCTTCTTAATGAGCTGGACCTGCTTTGAGAATCCTCAAAACAAAGCTCTGAGCACCCACTTTGACTGTTTTAGAGCTAACTCACCCGATGAAACCTGTTCCCTCCTTAGTCTAACTGCACCCACTAGAACTCTGTCTCTACGCAACACAGTTCTAATCCTAGATCTGCCCGGAATGCTTGTTACAATTTTGGGCAGGTTGAACATCAAAGCCTTAGGATCTATTATCTATAAAATGGGGCTAATAATACTTAAGTTCCTTAAAAGTTATTGCAAAATTCAAGTAGGATACTGTAGATGAATAGGCTTTTTAAAAAATAGTATGGTATAGCATTTCTGATGGTGACGACCTCCCCACAACAACAGGCCTCTCGCTAAGGATTTCCTTCATCCCTCTCCAGAGAGAAGAGAAACTGAAGCAGCAGCTCCTGGTGTGGAGTCCTAATTCCTACTGCATGGATGTGAAACACCCAGGATGCTATAAAATCATCACCATCTTTAGCCATGCACAAACCGTAGTTTTGTGTGTTGGCTACTCAGCCTACTGGAGAAAAAGCAAGGCTTCCAGAGGATGCTGCTTCAGAAGGAAGCATCACTAAAAGCATCCCGAATCAAAATGAGAGGAGAGCCATCCCAATAAACACATTTTGGATTAAAAAAAATTAGTTATGGTAATGACTATCAATTAACATTTACCATGTGTTACCTATAAATACTTACTATTTACATGTTCTGAGCATGAATTATGGCTCCCATTTTATGGATGAGGAAATGAAGGCACACAAAAATTGAAGTACCTTCTTCCCTTCTTCCAGGTCTCAAAGATAGTAAGTGGAAAGTCAGAGCTTTGCACCTCAGCAATTTATCTTAAAAAATCCCATGCTTCTGGCTAATATGCTAGCTTTCATTCTTTGCAGTCTGTAGAGCACCCTAAGTTTAATCTTTACCTGACTGATGTGTACTGAGCCCTGGATGAAAATGCAGAAAGAACAGAAGGTTTTAAGTTTGCTTTAGAGAACTAAAGGACTACACATATAAAAATGACAGTACCTGGCAGGCAGAAGGAAGTACTGATAGAGAAATCATACAAGTCTGGTGTTTGTTGGGAGAGGAGAATATCAACCTGGTGCCTGGAGATTTCTGCAGCAAGCCATCAAGTGGATAAACAGCAATCCTTAGGCTTCTGGAGCCTCTTAACACTGGAACCCACAAGTTTTGTTGCATAATTAATTATACTCCTGGAAAGTTAGCCAATGAGATTTCTTTTAACCTTATTTACTCCTTTGATCTTTAACTGAAAAGACTACTTCTTCCCCATCCCCCAGTTTCTAACACAAAATGTAAATGATTATAGAAATATATATTATTAACTTTCTAAAAATTTTAAGTTGACTTAAATCCTTTTTGGAATAAGGTGAGGTGTAAATGAATAAATACTCTCATAGTTCCTGTGTACCACTAAACATTAATAATCCAGTGGAGAGTCATGTAAAAATTCTGTTTTCCCTTTAAAATTATCCTTTCTAGAAACCAGGCTCATGAGTACAAAACCTGAAGATTGCTTTGACAAGTTATAAAGTCATAATGAATAATATATCAAGAAAGATGATGAACCCTGAAAAATCTTTCCCGATTCATTAAAAAGAATTATGATTTGCTTCTATCTCCAAAGTAATTTACAATTAGAGTGGAATAAGGACTATATATAATCTTTATGTTTTCCAGATTCCTTGGCTCATCTACTATAACAAGATTTTATTACTTCATAGCAAATGACTACAAGCCCGCTCTAGTTTAGCCTGCTGCTCACTGGCCATCTGCTGAACTTCCATGTCATCTTCATAGCCAGAGGCTTTTGTGCCTAATTGCACGGATGAATCAGAAGCAAGATCAGAATGTTTTATCAGTTTATTATGGTTTTGGGCAATGATAAGAATTGGTTATAGCCACTGCCAAGGTGCTACTGGGATTTTTTTTAGAATATACGATGCCCTAACGATAGGTGCTGTTGGGCTGAGTGGAGTTTGAGGACTGATGTGATGTAGAAGAGCACTGTACTGAGCTTGGAGACAGGGTTCTATTGTCTGCTTCTGTTAGGAATATGGACGAGGGCTTTGGAAACCACAAAGCACTAAGCAATACAGTCCCTACATGTGTTACAACTAGATGCTTAAAGAAACCAAAAACAATTCCTAAAACCTTCTGGCTA